TGTGATCATAGTCACATCAACGTGCATTTTTTTTCGCTGTACGTTCGCGCATCAAGATCGCATTATCTCAAGCTGTGATATGATATTTTATTACTATAGGAGGTATTGCTGGACCATAAAACTCCAACAGCACAATTTCAGGCATGAATTTAGAGGCAGGGCCGTCAGCACCAAGATCATCGCCAAACAAGTTTTAGGTCTAAGGCACGAGTGATAGTGCAGAAAAAAAGAGAACATCAGGGCACATTATGTCCGTATTCCCGTTGGACCATCCCAAGGTCTTAGGAGAAAGTGAAAGCTTCTTAAACTATCTTTTTCATGATTATTTCTTTTAAAAACATTACTAGGTGATTGAATGTATATGTTTATAGACAAGTGGTATAGAATACATATTATGTTGATGTATATGCATGTATACATATATACATGCACACACACACACACACACACACACACACATATATATATATATATATATATATATATATATATATATATATATATATATAGACGCCGTGCAAATAATTTACTCCGGTGAAGTGATCCAGAAAATAGGTTATTTGTGTGCGAAACAGATCATTTCGTTTTGCACTTGATGTCTAATGGAAGAAAATGTGAATAACTTAGCCATGTATAGGCCTAGTTGCTAATAGGTTATCTAGGTTACAAGTTCTAGATACACGGAATATTGTGGCTGATGGTTACTGGTGTACCAAACACAAATATAGATTTTAACCTGGGAAACGTCTTTTTAATCTATGGATTTTGGTACGTCACATTTTCGCGCGGCGTGTTCAATGCTTAGCGTGTTCAGCGCACCCAAGTGCACCACACGGTTCTCTTTTCTGAGGAGTCGTCGAGCTCAAGTAGGATGTCGGGCTCGGCTTCTCCCGAGCACACATTGCTTTTTGATTAGACTTGACCAATGGACAAAAATGTGTCTCATCAGTGAACTAGAGATCGCCAGGAAGGTTTGGTTCCCACTTTACTTTGCTGAGTAAACCACTAACTAATCGTCATCTGTTATTCGATGTCATGGGGTTTGAGCCTGGGCAACATGCCTGACTGTAAGACAATCCATTACTGAAGCGCCCTTGGCAACGACGGCGAAGACATGTTGTCGGGCCCCGTGTCGCTGATGCCATGACGACGGCAACTGGGGCTGGAGTTCTTCGAAATTCATCTGTCCGATCGAGTAACCTTATCCGGGACTGAAGTGCTCAGGCTGTGTACCGTTCAATACACTCTGAATTTGTGCATCCAACGAAAAACTGATTGTTTGCTGGAGCGTTTTTCTTTTAAGATTGAAGTGATGCGTAAAGTCCAAGAAAGTCTTTTGGAAATGTTCGGTTGTTGCATATTTTTCAACACAACGCCAGTATCCCGATTGCAAACCACGCTTTGATCAAGCCACGCCAACCCTCCCAATCTCCCGCTAAGACATCCCGCACTAACGAATGTTTCGGATTCATCATACTGTGGCGTGTGAAGTGCACGCAAATTATTATGTACGAAATAACATGCTATCTTCATGTGCATCTTTATATAACGCCTGCTATTTAGAAGTGTCATATTGGGGGATTCGTGCTTTTCAGTAAAGCAATAGTAAAAATGTATCCGCGCTACAACAAACCTGCATGTGCTATGTAACACCGTTTGGTTGGGTGCGGGCTTGGCTGAATACACACAGGAACAAAGATCCGACGCTTTACACAAAAAGGACGGTTTTTGGGCGGCGAGTTTGATGCAGAGCACAGCAGGCATATATTCACATCAAGTTCGCATCTAAATGCCCAAGAGAATTTTGCGGGCCGGCAACGCGGTGTTATCAGCTTCTCTCCGCAGCTGTCACGCCCATTATAGTTAAGCATGGCTGAAGTCACATTCGTAACACTGTTTTGAGTTTAGCAAGTTGCATAACTCTTCGATATAGCCAAACATAACACTTGCCTATTCCCGGTTTTACGTAACGATTTAAACGAAGCAAAAAAAATACATGAAATGCATAAAAATAAAAATAAAGTACATAAAAAGTACATACATATACAAAAATACATAAAATACACACTAAAATACATACATACAAATACATCGTCCGTCCCGGTGGCTCAGTTGGTTAGGGCGCCTGCCTTCCGATGCACCCGCCCGTGGCAGGGTGGGTTCGAGTCGCTTTAGGGCGCTCGCTATTTGCCCTTGACAGGTATGGCCTGCGGCCGGTGGCAGCGGTCGCGCTAAAGGTCAGTTGATGTCAGAGGGCAGGACGGACCGTGCCGAGCATTGCGGCACGTTAAGCTTTCGCCACCAAATTCTGCCGTTGCCTGGAATTGCGCGATCGGATGGTGGGGGTCAGGGCTCACACAACAAGCACTGCTTAGCGTGAGCTCTGATCCCGGAAATCCATCCATTCAAAGGGTTCGGATCAAATCTTTAAAAGAAGCTTTAGTGTTAGCGACAGAACAATTGTTCAAACTATTGTCCTCGTCTGGCGTGTCAGAATGTGGGCAGCGCTTCACAATGCCCTGCTCGGTCAGTTTAATGGTAAAATGCTGAACCCATTATCAGAACACCCCGGTTCGAACACCAACAATGCCTACGAGAAATATTGGGATGTGAAACGCAAGGACTGAAAGCCGAACACTATTCTGTCATTCTCAAGACTCAGCAACACCCGAAGACGGCCGTAGATTTGAGTGACCAAAACGCGGTGTACATGATGTGTGCCAAAGTGTATGTGTGCCATGATGCACGCGGTGTGCCCAAGCACCAGCCTGGACGTCAGTCCGAACCATTCTTCCATCGGTTATTGCGTGTTACCATTGTACGATACAAATCAAACATTATTATGCATTTCAGGAAAGTGTGCTTATGTTTTACTGCCCGACAATCTATAGCATCAAGTCTCAGAGTGTGACTGCTTCCGCCGCTTTCACCCACCACCTCCAGCACATCCATATCGCGTCATTCGTACCAGTTGTGTCATAGTCATTGCCTTCACTTGAAGCCATTCACTGCGGGTAGGTTCAGTTACCTAACGACGCAATTTTTCTGAGGGATTTGCCGCGCATAAAAATAACTTACCATTAATAAGAATCAATTATCGCGCCCGAATGTAATGGTAGTTAGCAGCCAGCGTGAGCTCATTTTTACACATATCCTCCGAAATACTTCTCAAAATGTTAGGATTTGCCATTCTATTGACAACAAATGAGCGCGTTTCATGCACCTACGACCCATAATTATCCATCAAATGTTGCACCCGTTATGAAAGTTTCCCCACATGCAAATAATTGGAATAAAAACCTGAAAATTAAATGTTGGAAACCCAGAACATTGAGGATGGGGCCCCAGATTCCACGTGATAGCACCATGTCGAGTACGATCATCAAGTTGGCACCGGATTGAAATTTATATTCAGGATGCTTGTCGGGCAGCGAATTTTAAATTAGCCTGAAAATCAATACACCGGTAGAGCGTGGATAACGTGATTGAAGTAGAACAACTCGCCAGTTTTATGATGCATAAATGAACATTTTATTGTTATTTTCACATTGAGGCAGGCTTTGCGACATCGCCTTACGACATGTGGGCTTGGGCCTTCAAAACCAAGCTTATTCGGCTCGTCATTGTCGACAACTGACCAAGAGAGGCGGCTCGACACAGCGTGACCGCGTCAGGGACATGCTTATTACATTGGAATATTTTGACAGTAATTGTACGCCGAGCTATATTTCTTCTGCCATGGAGTGGTGGATTCAAGGTCATGTTAACCACTTATGCTAACCAAGATCGCAATCCAAGGTCATACCGAAACATATTGGCTCATATTCTTAACATAAACCCTACAAAGCGGTATGACACCGAAAACATCGCTCTTAATATGGACCGTGCGAACCGATTTGGCAACTTCTGTAGAAAAATAAGTAAAAGCAAAGTGAAAGTATGCACCCGAAGGCATGAAAATTTGCACGGAATGATTCTATCTAAAAGGTTTGCTTTTGCAACCTTTTCATGCATCCGCTCAAAAGAATGTATGCATATTCTGAACACTCAGGCTGAATGATTTTATTAATGTTCCAGAGTGCTACAACGGAGGTACTAATTTTCAAACCTGAAAAGTTACCGGGAAGGTGCTGAAAATTATAGAATTGCGAAAAGCGTATGAGTTGTGCATTATTTAACATACGTCGCTTATCAGTAAGGTATCAAATGAAAAATGTTGTAACTTGCAAGCATGGCCACATGGCCATCAGTTTGCTGCAGTTTAACTTCCCGAAAAGTGGCCATTTGAAGCTCTCTATACGGTATGTGATTCAGGTGGTTTAGTTCATGGCTGACCCACTCCCTGTACTCAGTAACGACACAACGACACTGGTACTCCGCAGCTTACGCCCCCACGCCATTGTGATAGGATAAAGATGAGGCATACTTAGTGTAGCGCGTGTTCAGGTGTTCATTTGAAAGTTACGAGAGGAGCACATTGCCTAATCGGAACGCTGCTCTCACATGTTATCCACCCGTGTTAAGCTCAGCTGACGAAGTGCTTCATTTCAAATCTGGTTTGTGGCTGGCAACTGGGTTCGACTCTCGAACGTATGATACAGCAGCCACTGACACTCTTTTGGTGCCAATAGCGGTTGAAAGGTTTATTTGCTTCATTAAAAGCTTCTCTGCTTCAAGAAAGTTACGATGGTTTCGTCCGATAACTCTACGAAGACAACTGCTGCTTGAGTGGATTTCACACGTACGGCTTAAATTGGTTTGCGGTGATGTTTGCGTCAAAACCCCATCTGGCCTCCTCCTTTGGTAGAACGGCCCAGAATCAAACTTGCCCATCGATCTTAGATTGCTGAATCGAGGCACATGCAAATAAGCTCTCCATAACCCGGCATTGGATATCAAAATCATTCTAGCAAGCCGTCTAAATCACCACCGACGCCTCAAAGCCGCCTAAATAAACTTCGATCGCCATGGCGCTAAGGCTTCCGCCGCACCCCTTTCAGACCCATACGTCAAAGTGTGGCTGAACTTCGGC